AACTCTGGGCACTAGAAAGCCCAGACCGTTTTATGGATATTAAAGCAAAGAAACATTTTACCATTGGTGTTTCACGTGGCAGTTTACCTTTACCACCCCAAGGAAAACCAGCGGTCGTGTAATTATTTTGTGATACTAAGTAATCTTTAGCATGTCGTCAACATCCTAAAATAAGTATTTTTTCCAAAAGTGATTTTGGCAAAATAGATAAATTAAAATACCTCTTATTTTGCCAAAAGATGAAGAAAAATAATCACTTTTGGCAAAAAAAATGACAGGAGGATTTGCACAAAACCTGCCAGTAGAAACTGCATACAGAGCAGTCCAGGTAGTCTGGACCACCACAAATAGAAAATCAGCTAAATTAGCTAAAATCCACAAGTACTTAAGACTCACTTTTGAAAAAAAAAGAATTTTAATTGCTTAAACACAAAATATGTCTTCATATGCATTAATGCAAACAGTGGAAGCCATTTTAGCAGGAACACAGAAGCTATACAGCCTTCCTCTGTGCTGTTGGGGAAACAGCCAAACAGGAAAAAGAAATGGCCCTCCTGGTTGGGTACTCCACACATACCAGCCAGTAGCATCTCAGATAGGTGTGTAATACATGTGTAATACTGCATATTTTGGCACTAATGTGGTACCAAGTAAATAGAAGGCCAGTATCGCAGCTGCCGATGGCCAGCAATAGTTTTTATTTAGGTTCGACATACCAAACGTCTGACCTTTGGGTGTTTTTGTAGATTTCTTTGAGTTATTTTGTTGAAACCTAGGTCAGAATTTGGTCAAAGTTTATAGGTAACCATAAAAAACTTAACATGTTACCACAACAAACGGAACATATACATTTTGGGGTATTTTTCACATAAATATAATTTGAGAGCAAATCAAAAATATTTTGGATCGAGCTTCCCATCTCTAGGTTCTAGTGTCACATTCACTCCATATTTCAGTTTTGATTGTGTGCTACAGAAACATCAAGAGATTTTCCATAAGGACCTCAGAGTTGTAATCTACGTAAAAAAAAAAAGAACTATAGACTTTAGTGAACATTTGGATTGTGAAAAAAATCACGAGGAGGAGAAAATATTAAACCAATGAGGAGCAAATGTTGAAACAACAGAACTGGAAAACAAAGCTGGATCAGCAGAAACACGACTTATTTGGAAGATAAAGATACACATTCAAGTAAAACTATGAAAGAAGCACATTTAAGAGATGTGCTTCTAAGTACTGATGGGATCTACGGTACAAACTGAAAGGCCAGCTTGGCTAGCACAACCTACATAAAAGCATTTTGTTGTGTGGGCGTGAATAAAGACCTCATGAAAGCACCTGAAAAAGGTTCCTGAAGTGGAAACCACTCAGCATAACTGTTTGCTCTGCACTATTCTAAACTTTCTTTGTTAGTTCTGTGATGACAGAATACTATGCCTTCAACAACTGGATTAAATAAAGTGTAATTTCTTATGAGTTTAGTAGTTTATTTTCAAAATTGTAGTTTGTAATGTGCACGATAAGTAGATTTATTGCAGCAATTGTTAATGATTTACAAATTTAAGACATTTTAAAACCTTTTATAATGCCACCTGGAGTGCTTTTTAAGACCGGGAAAAAAAAAAAAAAAGAAAAAAAAACTAAATATGGAGGATGTATGGGGGAACCTGCTGCAGCCTGGTTTTGCGTCCATGATAGAGACTAAAAAGCTAGCTGGCTAGCAACGGTATGTTAGCAGCTAGTTCCTGGTAGCCTCAAGTCACAGAACGCAATGAAGATGAATGCATAGGACTCAAACAAAAAAAAAAAAAAACTAAGATCTGCAATTAACATATTTAAGGCCATTTTAAGACGTTTTAAGTCTTTAATTTTAAAAACAAAATGTTAAGATTTAAGACTTTTACAAATGCATGGACACTTTTATAATGACTACAACAAAATATTCATACTCTGACCATCACAGACTCTAATCATTGCCCAAAATAACTCAAAATTACCTTGTACCATTGATGAACTTGCTGTAACTGTAAACAAATCAGAATTCTTCAAAGATCCTGACTGCCTTCATCTCTTCAAACGCATTACTCATCATACTCTAAAACTTAGCTACTTCTACAGCTCACACCATCCTGAGATTTTTCTGTTCAGCTTCCCATCATCACACAACGCGTCAGTCGTCACTCTCTTTTAAAAGGTACGGCGTGTTCTGTGCATCACTCTCTTCGATGTACAAAAACATCCAACCCTCTTAAGCTGTACTTACTCCTTATTATGCCTGATAGAAAAATACAAAACAAAACAAAAAAACGTAAGGACCTTAAGAGTGCAGAGGTATTGATCAGAAACATGTTTTAAGCAGCCCAGTCAATTTCATTACACACTAACATTAGATGAAAGAAGAGTGATGTTTTTAGGGTAGTAAATTACAGTGTGGGTGTTCACGCAGTTAAAGAAAGGCTTTCTTCCTCTTCCAGTCAGCTAGAACAGGTCTTAGAGGCAGAATTCACACACACTTGCCAAATAGTAGGTTTAAAAAGGAGAAGATGTGAAAGTAATGACATGATTGGTTGTTCAAAAACAGTCTCTGTTCACGACATCTAAAGCTGCTGTCTATTTGGAGAAGCTTTTGAGCTATCAGCAAAGACTAGACAGCAGCTTTCAATGCAGCTGCCACATTCTAATTTACTGTTTACCCTTCTTTTTTTTAGACTTCATCCAGGCTGAGTGAAAAAAATACAAACAGGCTGTTTATTTGAAGTCAAACCAGGGGCGGAACTAAATGGGGGGCAAAGCCCCTCAGCCCCTCAGCAGTAGAAACTTGAGCCGATGCTTCTTCTGCCTTGTCTTTAAAAACATACCTAACAGCTAATCACCTGTTTGACCAGAATGCTATAATTGCCTTCAAATTAAACATTAAATAAGGGTTATTATGTATTTCCAGGCACATAGTGCAATTTTCTAGCACAAACAAGTAACTGTTACCTGCAATTGTTATAAAACAAAAAAAAAATAAAATGTTCATCTGACGCCTTGAAATTAGTCTCTTGTCTCTTTAAGAAGCCACGACTCGGACAATCCACCTTCAGCAGGACATCACAACAATGTTTCTCCGTCATGGTGAGGACTGGGGCCGATAAAGTGAAGTTTTATTGGATTTTGAAGATGTAACTTTTGGAAAGTTGGGATTTTTTATTTTTATTTTTTTTTTTACTAGTGCACTTGGCTGTCAGCACGCCCAAGACAGCCATCTTGATTGACAAACAGGTTTTACAGCTTATGCTTATTAGGACTTTGAATTCAGTAAAATCTATGACTGGGTATTAGATTAGGGTAAGATTCTTATTTTTTTACTCTAATGTTTTTATAAAAGAGAAAAAAGTGATAATATTACCAGAATAATGTTGTAATTTTAGGAGGAAAAAAGTAGTAATTTTAAGACAACTCCAACTTGAAAAATATCAAAAATTGAAATAAAAGGCATTTATTGAATTGTACAAAAGGAAAAAGAAAAGAAAAGGAAAAATGAATCTTTTGAAATAGGATTTAGTATGGAAAGAATCTGACTGGTTTTAAGCCATATCTCCATAATTATGAGATTCAATGATTTCTCAAAAGTGCTAGAAAGACTCAAAGCAGCATTAGGGTGGAACATTATAACAAGATGTAAGGCTTAAAAAAAGTCAATTTTGCATAAAGCCACCTCTTTAATTCGGTTTATATGATTGTAAATAAGCTGTCACAGGCACACTGACAAGACCTTCTGTCTGAAACCCACCAGCTCGCTCCAAGTTTAGACAGTTTCTCGCCAGGTGACGTTAAAAACAAACAAAAGTTAAAGTCCAATTAAGTTTGCAATGAATGAAATGTCTGCTGAAGGTGACAGATGGTGGCAGTTTACCGAGCCCGTTAATCGCTTCCCGACAATGACGCACTCGTGTGTGATTTTTAAGAGCCTATTTCCCTTGTTAGTCTTACCTACAATAAACAAAAGAACAGTTTATGAATAGCTTAAGAATGAAAAATTGCTTAGGGCTCGCCGTTTCAGTTGGAGTTTAATCAACGAGATGCTGTGATGAGATCCACATCACAGCAGAACCAAGCTAAAGAGAAAAGAGACTTCTTCATAACATAACTCAAGTAAACATAACCGGCACTGTGCTGTCAAACTACTTCAAAAAAATATTTTTTTTTCATAAAGTTACTCAAGCAAATGAGTAAATGTGAATGCCACAACAACATAGAAAGAGTGCAAAAGTATTTCTATGAAAAACACATCTGTATTCAGAAAGAAGGCAAATTTTAATAATAATAATAATAATAATAATAATAAGGGCGACACATCACCCTTCAGAGCATATTCGATGTTCAGAGAAGCAAGAAGTTACTAGAATATAGACATGAAGCAACAATAGATTGTTTGCGAACATGAAGCTTTTCCAGCTAAGCTTTCATGGGTCGACATGGTAGACCTCAACATCCAAGTCGACTACGACGCTGTCATTTTCCCTGTTGAAGATGACAGCCCCATTGAGCCGGAAGATGAATCAGAGATCCAGGGGGAATCAAGTCCTTCCGGCGACTTTGAGAGTCCAAGATCATTGGAAGTCAAGCAGGAAACAACACCCTCTGCTGGCTTCAAGATCACCCCCTCAGTGGAAGACGTGGCAGAGACTAGCCAACACGTCAAAGATTTGACAAAGCAGGTAGACGATCTTAAAACAGAACTGCAGAGAAAGAATTCTGAATTCCACGAGGAAAGAGACAGAAGGATTGTGTGTCAGGCTGAAGTCAAATCCCAGCAGGAGGAGATTCAAAGACTGCAAAAAATGTTGGAAAAAGAACGTCACCTGCAAGTCAAACGTGAACAGGTTTCTTGCTCTTCCAAAGTTACAACTGACAAGAACGTTCTTCAACAGCTGGAGTACTTCAAGTGGGAGGCTGCAAAATACGCCTCCCGCAATAAAGGTCTGATTGAAGTAATGGTTGAAGAATAACCGAGTGAGACTCAAATATGAGGAGCAGCTCAAAAGTCACTCTGAGCAAGCTTCCAAATTTAAGGCTCAGGAGGAAACGGTGAAAGCTCTGCAGGGTCAGGTTGCGGACCTGAAGGTGGAGTTGAAACTTGCTCTAGAAAACAACCATCCTAGAGTCTCCACCCGACCACAAGTCCCCCTGCAAAGAGAAGGCTCCCTACAAACAGAGGAGACCAAGGATAGACAGACCTCCAATCAACCAGGGAGGTCTAAAGAAAGATGGACCTCAAATCAACCAGGGAGGTCTGAAGAAAGACAGACCTCAAATCAACCAGAGAGGTCTGAGGAAAGATGGGCCTCCAATCAACCAGGGAGGTCCGAGGAAAGACAGACCACCAATCAACCAGGGAGGTCCGAAGAAAGACGGACCTCCAATCAACCAGGGAGGTTTGAAGAAAGACAGACCTTGAATCAACCAGAGAGGTCTGAGGAAAGATGGGCCTCCAATCAACCAGGGAGGTCTGAGGAAAGATGGACCTTGAATCAACGAGGGGTCTTCATGAATAGCCTGGCTCAGCCTTTGCGCCGACCCATACTCAGGTTGCAAACAGAGGAGTCCACGCAAAGCCAAACCTCCACACAAACATGGAGGTCTGAGGAAAGACAGACATCCATGCGACCAACCTCCACTGGTTGCATGGAGGGTCTTCATGTTGCCGTTGGCACGAAGGCCAAGCTAAGCCCGGCTCGGCCTTTACACCGACCCACACCCAGGTGGCACTAACCTAGGTCATTATTCAAGCCCAGGTTTTGCTAACACTTTGCATTATGAAAATTTGAGGCTTTGCACAAATTTGGCAAAGCCTCAAACTGTTTAACACATATTCATCCATCATCTAACATAACATACCTATGTAAGTTAGATGATGGATGAATATGTGTTAAACAGTTGACAATAGAATACGAAACAGAGAATTTGTGAAAATTAATTTGGCTCTGCTACTGTCCAGAAACAACCAATCAGAACCAAAAGGCAAACTTTTGGTTCTGATTGGTTTCTAATGTGTTGAATGTGTCTCAGTATATTCAACACATTAGACTGCTAGTGTACTGCAGCTAAGGAATTGGCAGAAAAACAACCTAACATTATATCATCATTATTTATAGAATGATTTAGAAAACAAAATTCTATGCAGGCTTGACGAAACTATTTCGACCCATATTAGAACTTTGCATTGATTTCCCTTCATTTTAGTAGCTGCGATTTTGCCTAAGCCTAACCAATACTAGTCTATTCCTAACATTAACTAAACCTTAATTCACATTTTACCTCTAAACATTACCCCTGACCCAAAGAAATGAATCCATCATATTAGGACAAGTCTTTGGTCCTAATATGGTGGACCTAATATGACCCTGGACATATAATGGTGCGTTCACACCAAACACATTTTGACCGTCAGGCGCATCTGGTTTACATTCAAACTATGTGGAGGCGCATTGAGGGCCGTTGCGGCGCTCTTCGAGCATCTAGCGCGGCACCATTTGAACCGTTTGGAGCGTTTGACATGTCCAGCGCATCAAATACTTCACATAGACTTTGAATATAAAGCACACTCGTCTGACGCAACATTTTCACAAAAAGACACAATATAGCTAAACAGATTCGACTCATGTAACGAAAAAACAATCTAAACATGTCAATACTACTTTCCAATAACTTCCAGAACCGTTTTATTTCAAAGCTGATAACTGACGGTGTATTAAGCAATCTGTACATATAAACAGATTGCAATTCAGCTCCTGTACAGTAGGTTTATACCTCAGTTAACTAGAACCGCTGTTGCTCTTTTTCCTCCCAGCGCCCGCTAGTTCAGTTGCTATGACAATGGTAAATAAAACACAAAGTATTCTTTCCACAATGCATTGTGAGACCTGTCACTGCGCCTGTTTGTGCCTCTCTCTGGGCCCTTTTGCTATGGTAATTAATTATCTGCACTTGGGCTGGCTCTCTGTCAGACAGTATGCTGGAGACAGAGTTTCTATACTTGTGAGACACCCAGCGTCGATCTCAAGGACCCTGACAAAAAAACCATAAGCCCTAGCACAATTTTGAAAACATTTTAAGGGAGCAGGCATGTGTATCTATGTCATGACCGACTTTAAGACCAGTAGGGCAATATTTGTGCCTGTGAGGGGGAGTTAAAAGAGTTTTGGAGTCAGAAATCTACTGTGCTGTGTGTGTGTTTCAGAGAGAAAGATTACCGATTCTGTGAGATACTCAGCCTCGATTTTTCTTGTTTTTATCAATTTATGTCGTCATTTTAACTCAGAATCCCACTAAAAGTAATAGCTCCCTTCTCGGGATCAAGCTGAACGTTTTGATAACACTTTTGTGGGGGTGCACTGCGCGCAGTGGTACGGGCCGCATTAACGGCGACGGAAGAAAAATAAAACTATAATAACAAAGAGACATTCTATAGGTGCATGCCATGCACCTATTGTGACTTGCGAAGCAAGTCAGTCACTGCTCTCCCTATGCATTGATATTGCAGGCCCCAATGATAAAACAAAAACCTCACAAGACGAGGTGAATTTCATGAGATCATAGATTTTATGAGCAAACCTGATGTCTGACGTCCTAGAAACACAAAATACAGCAGAAAAAGTATTCCAACGTCTGACATGTTCCGCTGAAATAGGGAGAGAGGGCATTTGTACTTCAAAATTGCCTCAGAGGAGAGTTTTTTAAATATTTTTGTAGATATTTTATAAGCACCACTTATCTACAGGGAATTTTGCTGATACTTCAACGAGGAGAACCAGCACTGCTAACTTGTTGAGGTCTCTTGCCATTTTCTAGACCCCCTCTTGCTGTGTTTCCACTGCAAATGTGCGCAAAACGTTGCCAAGTTACTGGGAATGTCGAAAAAAACTATTTTGTGATTACCGTGTTTCCATTAAGTAAGAAACAATCACAATCACGTCCATATGAGGCAAGATGAACATGTGATCTGTTATTTCTGGTTTATGTAGTTTATCAAGGTGAAAGTTTGATAAATCAAAACTAAAAATTATATTTATGAGGAAATAAATATCACTTTTCTGTTGCGAATCGGAAACCTGGAGTCATTCGATATCAGATCGGGTTTTTTGGGTCGGCGATATGGATGTTGAATTTTATCGTGGTATTTTGTGGTGCTATTGTGATAATAAAGATTATGATGAAAAAAAACGTATTACTTAATTTTCAGGTAACTATATCTGCATCGCTCAGCATTCATAGCACCACAGACACAAATACTGTTCTTGAAAAATATTCAACAGTCGGCTTCTTTAGGATGCTGCTTACTTATAAGAGTAATTTTATCAATAAACTGCACACAGTAACTGAATTTAACCAGATTTTTCATATTTTCCCGTGGAACAAACAATGGAGAAAATAGCAAAAAAATAACATTTACCATCAATATAACTGAAATTTATCAAGACGACAATAAATCATTTTATCACGATAAGTGATACGATAAATGGCCACCCTAACCTCATTAATCCACTGGTCCATGTGAAATTCCAATCGGCTGCTTTCACATCCCTACCTCACTTTTTGAAGGCGGATGTGTTGCCTTTCCAGTTCACCTGAGTTAAAACAACAGAGATAGGAGGCTGAATGCACTCAGGAATTCCAATCCTGATCAATGAAACGCCGCCTTGATCAGGACCAACATCCAGTGCTGGATAAAAAGATTGGAACGATTCAACTTCGTCCATCTAAATTAGCATCAGTGTGTGACTAGATGTGTGGTTTTTTTTATTTATTTTTTTTATCCCCCCTATGTGATTGCCGGGGTGAGGTGGAGGAGGGGACGAGAGGTACAGTGAAGACCGGGTCACAGGAAAAGGGGGCCTGACAGATTATCGATGATAGCAGCACATTATTATCGACTCCAAGAACTCACTGGGGGGAATGAGTCTTATCTTTGCAGAGCTAGGAACAGAGAGAAGGGAGACAGAGAGAGAGAGAGGGAGAAGATAATGAGAAAGGCAGAGTGAGAGAGAGAGAGAGTTGAAGTTTATACCGAGGGAGAGGGGCTGAGGGAGAGGGGCTGAGGGAGATACGAGATGTAAGAAGTCTTGGCAGACGGCTTATCATATACGAGGAAGAGGAAGGAGGATGAGAGCGGAGATTTAAAAGGTGAGGCGTCGACTTGAAAGACACAGATTTTAATTTGAAAAGTCTGGCAGGAATACCCAGTCAAAGCCTTATTTTACACTTTCAGTAGTGTGACTCGTGTGGTTTTTTTAAAACTCCATGTCGATGCTTTTTTTCTTCTTCTTCTTTAAAGGGAGTTGAACAATTGTGCAATGCGCCAAGAAAGTTGATATTTCTCAACAGTAAGTATACAGGGATGAAAAACTTTACAGAACTCTGGCGCAATATACCACTTATGAACTTTATGTCATGTATCAGGCAATAAAAACAAGCAGTGTGAATAAATGGGCATGTTCTTACTGCATGCATTACCCATAAATCTATCTCACACACACATAAAAACACTGCAGAAAGACGGCCTGGTGCTGACAATTCTAGATAAGCTGCACAGACAAACTGCAAAAACACAAAATCCTTCCAAGTATTTTTTGTCTGGTTTCTAGTGAAAGTTCACTTGAAATGACACAAAACTAACTTACAAATAACTTTCCAGCAAGAAACAGGAGTTTGTTTAAAGACGACAATTGCTTAATATCGATGAAAAAATATCCACTGGCAGATTATTTCACTTATGGCGATGCATTTTTTCTCATGTTACAAGTGAAATATTCTGCCACTGGAACTAGTACCATTTCATCAAGATTAAGAAAGTATTGAACTAAAACAAATTGTGTCTTAATTCAAGTTTACTAAGACATTTGCAGTAGAAATTAGACCAAAAATGCCAGGTAAGATGTTGTTTTTGCAGTGCAGATCAGATGAATACACCACAGAGTGAAAGGCATATTTGCCTCTGACTCTGAGGTCAAAGGCAAATTGACCACAGAGTTAATTTTGCCTTTTTGTTTTGTTAAAAAAAACAACAAAGAAACAAAAACACAAAAAAAACTTTTTTTGTTTACCAAATTGGAAATGTGGTAAACTTTTTGTTTTTACTTAAACTTGGATAGACTCAATGTGAGTTTATCCATGTTAATATTTTTTTTATATGACGTATAATAAATTAACTCAGATTTTTTTTTTTTAAGTCTTATCACCTGTCTTCTATTTTCAGCGTGATGCTGGCTTGTCTCTAAAACCAACATGGAAAAAGAATTCTGAACGTTAATTTTTTCATTATATAGTATCTTTTGAAAATAAATATGATTTTTAGTTGATTAAATGTGTGGAGCGCTTATTCTGTGGCAGACTTTTCTGAATATTTAGGATTATCTTCTGGCTTTTGGGAGTTTTTCCACTCACATGCTCTTAATGCTAGTATTACCCAGATAGTATGGGTACCAGCAGTACTCATAGTCCTGGGTACTGCTAGTACCCTATTGCCCTATTACGCAGGGTAAAGCTATGGGAGTTATCATCTCCCATAACTTTATTATGGAAGATGATACACCCTTCCTTCCCTGTAGAGCTTACAGTGACGACTACATTTAACAAAACACAGCTGAATACCATGTCCTGAAACATCGAGGTTACCGCAGAGATAAGCTTTGTGCAGATTACACATTTCCAATTTGGTAAATATAATGTGTTATATTATCTTGTTGCACATTGCTACTCCACAGAAGTTGGAATGAGAAAGTGTTTCTTAGAGTTTGGTCTTATGTAATGGTGCTTCACACTCTAAATGTACTTCGGCTGTCTGAGTCCTTGGGGAGAAATGAAAACACGAGATAAAATAAGGCAGTTTGAACATCAGTCTCGATGGACGCCGTGTTGAACTTGGAAAGGAAAATAAACTCATAAATAAAGCGGCAAAGCA